ATCGCATGCAGTGACTAGCCACACCTGTATAATTTACACAAACTGCAATATTCCCAACTAAATTTGTGCCATATTATCATTTAACCAGAAAAAAGTGTTGGAAAGGTTGTAAAACAATAGATAATTATGTAATAATCCAATTCCTTACCTATCTCACCATCACTAATAACATCAGATTTTCCTTTTCGTAAGATAGTTACTCCAATCCTGATAAAAAGGAGTAAAAACTCGTTAATAGTAGCTGGCCATCATTGATGCTTTCTTGACAAAAAATTTTCGCCATATTGATGTGACACAATTTGCCACCTTATAACCATGCTAAATGATGCATATTGGCCAAGTATTTTACCCCTCTAAAAATTTAAGAAAACTGACACCACTTACTGTTTGGCAAGGGAAAGTAATTGCTTGCAACCATCTTGATCATTGACTTCACAATTTAGTACTTTCTGGACCAGGCGCTTGTATTCATTCACATTTGGGGTCAGAACAGCAAAGGGATAACCACTGATAAGATCAAGATTGTTTGTTACCAGAAACAGCCCATCCTAAGGAATCACAGTCGTAAGAAAAATACATAAACAAGTGATCAACTTTGAAATACAAAAATAACTAATCAATCCAAGAACAAATCACAAACAACATTAAATATTGACTTACCCCATCTACAACAACTGGAACATTTGACTCTCTTGCATGCTTCATGATTTTACTAACACATTCCTGAAGATTATACACGTCTTAGGAATTTCGCAGAGACTTTACAGAGAAAAATAATAAAAGATAGAAACATAATGTACAGCTGAATGACATCATTAGGACATTTCGCACTATTAAATAATTGATTGTGATCAATTATCTCAAAAGTATAAAATTTTAAAATAATCAGTTCAATCAATTATTTAATATGATGAGATCTAGTATATAATAGTTGGGAATATCATCTACCATCCAATTATCTGTTCACTCACTCCTTTGCCTGTTACTGGATTTTGAGTTTTGCAAAGTTCATCAATCTTCATTTAGCTTGCATTCCCTTACTCATCTTGGGTCTTCATGCCTTCTTTTAGGTTTAAATCAACTTACTAATCTTAAAAACCATACTTGCACATTCGGACATGTGTTAACATAGATATTTTGCTATAGTTTGATACATTTTGGTATATTTTTTAATTCCTCTTTTGTAAGTTGGTGGTGTCAATCATACCCTAATTTATCCGGCCTAAAAATAAAAAAAGAAATGAGGGGTAATAGGTGCGAAGTGCTAACAAGAAAATGTTTAATATTCACCATTTAATTATTATTGTTATTATGATTATGCTTTCAAAGAAAAAGAAGAGAAAAATAAGGAAGCACAAAACTCCTATACCAAATAACCCAAACCCAGCTCAAACTTGCCTAGCCCACCAATTTCGGCCAAACAGAAAAACCCAGCCTCCAGCCTGTTGAATTCTCTTCCCAAGCAAGCAACCCGGCCCAGCATAGTTTTCAGAGTGCCTCCACTTTATCATTGTTGCACTATTTGTCACAATAGCGAAAGGTGGCACCCCTTGGTGTTTATTTACATCATTGCTTTTTTCTCTCTAAAAGAATTTTGCAATGAAAGAATTGAAAGTTAGAATTTCCACAATATTTCACTCTGAAAGAGAATAAGATAAAAAGAAAAGGAAGAATAATAGAAACAGAAGGAGCAGTCCAAATTTGAAGAACCCACGAAATCAGACAAGTCTTATTGTCGAACAGCCTTTGATTATAGACTCATTTTAGAAATTTGAAATTTCTGAAGTAGCCAATTCAGAATTATCATTGCAGAGTGGAAATAATTGACTCTCATAATTTTCAGCATAAAAGTATTTAAAATTTCTGTATAAAGAGACAAAAATAAAAGTTATGAATGTGCGATATATCAAGCTTAGAAGCAGAAAACACGCACTCATCCACATAAAGGATAACCTATGTGGACATGCTTCATGCAGAACCAAATATCTTATGTAGTAGAAAGGAAAACTAAATGCGACTCAAAAAGCACATACCAGAAGAAATGGATCCCTTCCCAGTCCAGGACCAATAACAAGGCAATCAAAACGTTCCATCCACTTATCAACTTCCACAAGAACATTTTGTGAGATGAATCTTCTCTCCTGATCACTTAAACCACTGTTTTCATAATAACAGTGCCCCAACGGGGAAGAAATTAATAAGTAAAAGTTGGCATAGGAATAAATAGAAGTGATTGGGCAGGAAAAGAAAATGAACCTAATGGTATATGATTCTTCTAAAAGAGGGTGCACTATTAATTCTGGACTATAACTTTTGATAACTGGAGCAGCATCTTTGGTACAGAACACATGGGACAAATCAGCACCCTACAAGGGGAAAGGAAAAGAAATGTGTTTGTTCAACATAGCAGCTCCTAAATGCAGTAATCACAAATCATTTACTTTCAGAAATTCTATGAAAGTACAAGGCAAGAAAAAGAAAGAGTATTTCGTACTAACGATTTTCAGTGCTGAAATTGCAGCAAAATATGGAGCACCTGTGTATTCACGGCATCCACCAATAACAGCTACCTTTCCTGTTCAAGTATGGAGGAGAGAAATTTAATTTTCGTTCTCTGGAGAAAAAAAAATAACAAACAAACAAAAACAAAAGACAAAAGATAGCTAGTCCTTTCGCTTCCAGTTATAAATTTACCCTAAAACCTCTCTTCCTTGACATTGTTCTTCTTCCAAGTAATTATTTCCTCAAAAAAAAAAATCTCAACACTCAATATTGCAAGGATTCACTGAACATCAAGTAATCATAAGTTACCATGTTACCGTAATAATTTCGTACGGCAGAAACATGATCAATCAAGCGATAAAATATTATCCATTCAGAAGTAACATACTATAAATTTGCATTGAAAAATCAATTAAAGAGAGACGTCGAAAGCGCAATGAGCTAACCTGCCTGGCCTTTATGCCTCTTAGGGTCAAGAGAGGGAGTGATAGTTCTCAAGATGTTCTCGGCATCTGCCTCCAAAGAGACTTCGCTCATAGACTTCATTGACTGAATTCTATTATGGAGATGACTTTGTCTGTTGTACCCACCACCGAGAGACCTAATCAAGAAGTGCTGTCTTCGCAGCACGGAAGAGGGTGATAACATTCAGCTCTTCACAAAATTCAACCCACCATTACGGCAACGGTTAATTAACATGAGATAAGCAATATCTCTTGCTTCTTCAACTCAAACTTTAAGAAACAAAAAGAGAACAGAGTGACAATTGACCTCAGTCTTGGAAACTTCTGAGCGGGTTTTGATGGAAATGGAACCCCGATAGATTCAGACTGTTAAATATATGTATATATATGTGTGTGTCTGGGTGTGGCTTTGGCGAAGGGCAAGCAGGTGGGTCCCACGTCCAAAGCAGGACAATTTAAACGACGTCGTTGGAGGCTAATTGTAAATACTGGAAAGATCGAGCGAAGAACAGGCGGAGAGAGAATGAGAGAAAGGGCAAAGCTGAATGCGATTCGATCAGGGATAGTGATAATCGGATCTTTGGCGTTCGGATACTTGACTTTAGAAATCGGATTCAAGCCGTTCCTTCAAAAGGCACAAGAAGAAGAGCAAAATATTCGTCTCCAGCCTGATTTCTCTCTGTGTCCTGAACAACAAGAAGAACCCTCAAGCTATCGCTCCTAACGACTCAGGTACTCGGTTCACTTGTCTAGCTTCAGGATTCATTGATTTTAATGTTAGAGATGTAGCTTTTTACTTTGTCAATACGTGATTATGCGTATATATTAAGTGGAATAAGGCCAAGAGGATTAAAATTTTTGGAGACAGTACATGGAAGTGTTGAAAATGAGAAGGATTCTCTGAAAAGCCAAGATGGCGGGGTTGGATCTCAGCAGTAAAGCGAAGATTACTTAGAGACGGCCAACCGATAGGCAAAAGAGAATCAACTAGCTTTCTTCTGATTTGAGTAGCTTATAATAGGGAATATGCTAAACCTGGGAACTGGGCTTGGTCATCCTTTGCCTTTTAATGGCATTTCTTTTCCTGACAAATTTTTTGGTCAACATGTCTTAAACTCTTTACCTTTGAAGTTCTGCCATATAAAAGTCACTGATAATGCCCTAGTCTAGACTTGGGATGTGAATGAGTTAATCTCAATGTATTGCTGTTGAAGAAAAATGTTTAAAAAAAAAAGAGAAAAGAGTGAGATTACATTTTTTGTTCCTCAGTATAAACCAAAAGTATATAAAGACTTTGGGAACTCTAGAAAGGGCAATCTCAATACTCACCTGAAATATCCTAAAAGACAAGGTAATGGTCAGAGTACTAATGAGGAGGTCCTAAAACTGTCATTAAGAAAATTGTCAAGTGTTTCTTCTGCAAGGAGAGTGGTTATAGAAAATTTGAATGTTAAAAGTTTAAGTCAAGACTAGAGAAAAATAAAATTGAAGGTAATCCTATTTCTCTCGTTTGCTTTCAGTCCAATTTTGTTAATGTGCTACCTAATTCATGGTGGCTCAATAATGGGCGCACTTGTTCACATTGCTATTACATTGTAGGGGTTCAAAACTAAATGGAAGTCAAGTAACTTAGAATGCAAGCTTAAAGTGAGAAGGATGTTGAAACAAATGTCGAGCTTATAGAAGTTATTACACTAAAATTAGAGATTGGCTTTGAATTAATGTTGGAGAAGACTACATACCTTTTTTAGACATAATTTGATTCTGTTTCTATTTTGGATAATTTAGGATATTTTTTCAATTTTAGAAATCGAAAAGTTAATATTTCTTTTCATTCTAAAAGTATTGCTTTTAGTGTTTTTTTTAATGATCTTTACGAAATGTGTTTGGCTCCCTATTGATTTTTGTAACAATTCCGGAAATGCAAAATGAAATATATAATAATTTAAGTGCGAAAGCGAAATAAAAAGTAAAAGTTTACATCCCTTACACAATAACTTAAAAGTACTAAACAAACATTTCAGAATGAATTCTCTAAAAAAAACACGAGAAATGAGAAAAGTAAAGGAAAATATAAAATATTTAGTATCTACTCGCAATTTTCTTGTGGATCGGGTTGGGGAAGTAGGTTCTCTTGACCTGAAATGGTTAAATAAAAGATGAAGTACACTAGTTCAGTAAGGACATCACACTATATCACCGGCACAAAAGTAAAGGTTGGTAGAAAATCAAAATAACTAATGGAGCACTAAATTTAAACCAATACATTTATTAAAAATAAAATCATTTCTCTTTCACTTACCATCGGGGAATTTATGAAAACAAATTATAAAAACAATAATACCACACAGATCATAATTTAATGCACGATCAACAACATATAACATATCATAAATTCACATTCATTAACAATAAATTAAATAATAACTGTTTCTCGTTTCACCAGTCTACTAGTATCCATGGGGATCCATAGAGGTGTCCCTGCTACATGTGAATCCTTTCCCTTAACAATCTTAATTACAGAGTCGTCCCCATACCCCGTCCGGTATGAGTTCCAAGACTTTAAACCTCAATACCTCATCCGGTATGAGGGTGAAGCAGTCGTCCCCATACCCCGTCCGGTATGAGCGTCAAATGACCAAGTCTCCATACCCCGTCCGGTATGAGACAACGTTCACGGTAGGGTTCCTTATAAACCCGATCCGTCCACCATCTCGCAGGATATCTAGTGAGACTGTTATCTTATCTGTTTATTAGATCACACCCATTTCTTGTTTTCCCTTAGTCTCCGTTACCAAATCAACATAATCACATAAATAAATAAATATGCATCCAGTAATGCAATCATATGTTAAATCCCAAGATCAAACAGTGGTCAAGTAAGGCAGTAAAACATCCATTTAGACCATAAAATATATAAATCAGATACCATCATGCTTTTACACTGTAAAATAAATCAACAGAAATCAATAGAGAACAATGTCTTATTCGGGCTGCATTAGCAATTCGTAATTAATTATACACATCTATTTAATTTGTACAAAAACTGTATTATTATTTATTCAAACTTCAAATTTATGATAAGAAATAGCGTGAGGGGTTCTTACTTGATTTGACACCGAAAAACTAAATGGTTACTGCACCTACGGACGGTGCCTAGGTTCTCTGAATTTTTCTTCGGGAACTGAAATGTGTTTATTGTACCTATAAATGTCCCAAACAAACCCAAAAATCAGTCCCAGTGCCTACTCGGCCAATTTCGGAAATCCAGCACGGCAGCTCCGCCGTACTCCGGCGACGGCGGTCCGCCTCAGGTCGACTGTTTTCGGCCGAATTCGGTCGATTTTATATCGATTCTTGCGAGTACACACGCTAAAGGGTCTCGGTGGTCTGAAAAAATATGAAAAATCGAAACTCACCGGCGGCGGGGCTCTCCGCTGTGGCGGCTCCTCCGGCTCACGTTGCGGTTGGGTGTTTCGTTTCAGTCAACCTGTAGAGAGGAAAACGGTGATCACAATGGTGGAAAAATTACAGGAAACGGGAATCGGGAAAGGTCTCATCGAAGGCGGCTTGTGAAATTTTTCACGGCGTTTTCCGGCCACAACGGTGGAAAAATTACAGGAAACGGGAATCGGGAAGGGTCTCATCGAAGGCGGCTTGTGAAATTTTTCACGGCGTTTTCCGGCCAATTGGCCAATTCTTTTACTCCGATTTAGCCATTGGTGGGTTTAAAATTGAATTTCGTGCAAAAGGAAAAATTTTTACCTTTTCTGGTGGTTGGAAAAAGTTTCGGTGGGCGGCAGTTGGCGATGGTCGTCTTCTCGGCGGCTGGGTTGTCTTCTCTGGCGAGGGGTTCTGACGGCTAGGGTTAGGTTTGGGTGCGGATGAGGTTATTTATACTCATCTGCTTTTGATCTAGGCTGTCAATCGCTTTTAATCTGAGCAGTCTGATCGCGATTAAATAGGGAGTGAAGCTGGGTCGTTCATCGCGATTCAATCTGGATCGTCCGTGCGCAATTCAATCTGAGTCATCTGTGCGTGCGGGAACAGACCTCAGTCATTCAATCGCGCGCGCGCGGATCGCCCACATGGCTCCCCACCGCGTGGCCTCCCGCGTCAACACCTCTGCCACTTGGCGCATCCTGGTTGGTCAAAGCTGCTGACCGGTCGTCTGACGTTGCGCAATTTTTCTAAATTGCGTTTTAACCTCTGATTTTCGATTTTTCTTTCAAAAATACCCCCATAACCGAAATTTTTACCCCTTTTTTTAAAAATTATTTTTAATTTAATTCTTAACAAATTTTTATCCATTTTTTTCATTAAATTAAAATAAATTAAATTAATAAATAACTATATTTAAAAGAATGAAAAAAATAAAAACAAAAACAAATGTTGGGTGTTACAATTTTAATATATGCCTAAATATTGAAAATGTTTCCCATAAAAAGTCCTTTATGAAAAATTTTCAGATAGAGTAAACATTTAGGTCATATTTCAAGAAAAATGATTGAAAGATTAACAAATGATGAAATTTTACTTTGATGATCATGGTACTTATGTTGATTGTCTTAGCGGAAAAATTACCAAGGTTGAAAAGTCTAGTGTGTCATGTAGTTCAGATCATTAGAGAATCATTTACACTGACATCTCTGTACCTCATGACACTGCTTTATGAGACAATAAGTATTTTTTTGTATTTATTGTTGATTTTTCTCAATATGGGTATCTTTATTTGAGTAAAGAAAATCAGTTGGTCTTGAACAATTTAAATTCTGTAAAAATAAAAAATAATTGGGAAAATCTATTAAGGTAGTACACTCTAAACGAGTTGCTAATTATTATGGTAGACATGGTACACAGAACAAGTAATGGGCCCATTTGCCAAATACTTACAAGATTGTGACATTGTTGCCCGTTATTCATTGCCTAATAGTCCCCAACAAAATGGTGTGACTGAAAGGTGCCTTAAGGAAATGATGAGTGTGATGTCTATGTCTAACCTACCTGAAAATCTTTGGGCTGAATCCATTAAGACCGCCGTATACATTTGTAATAGAGTTCTTAGTAAGTCTATACCTAAAACATCTTTCGAATTTTGAACAGGAAGAAAACCTAGCTTGTTTTGCCTTGGTGTTTGCGGTTATACTTTTGAAGTAAGAATATATAATCCTTTTGAGGAAAATCTCTAACCATCTACGTACTCGTTACTACTTTATTAGTTACCCTGAAAGGTTTAAAGGACATATGTTTTATTGTCCTACACGCAGCACTAAAATTGTAGAGTCCATGGCAGCTAAATTCTTAGAAGCAGATGTTGCAGATATTGATTTTATCCTACATGTTGATGACTCTAATCACTGTGAAATAGTTTTCATTCCTTTGCCACCGTTAGTTACCAGTGAAGCACCAATATCTGGAGGGGGGTGAGGGAGAAGATATTAATTTTTTAGCTATTGGTCGTTCCACTAGTTGTAATCTTCTTGCTTCTGTACTA